CTCTTCCCATGCGTGTTGAAAGTTATTACGAGGGGTGATTAAAAAGTTCGCGAACTAATTGAATTTCCTTAAAAGCAATAAAATGAGGTTTTAGTGTTCATTATTTTTCAAAAATAGTCCTCTCCGATTTTAATGCACAACTGGCATTGTTCTGCCCATGCGAGAATCACGTGATCCAGGCGGTCACGTGACATGCTTTGTAGCGGTCCGTTCACAGAAGCCAAGAGATTTTCCCGAGTCTTATATTTCTTACCATGCAAGTAATTTTTTATAACAGGAACAGACCATCTGTCAGAAATGACCAAATCTCGGCAATAGGATGGGTGGATAAGGATATCCCTTCCCAGAATTAGCATGGTGACCACCACAACCCGAGTCCTCTGTCTCGGGAGCTTCGTTTATCCAATGTGGAAAAAGTATGGGCGCCTTCTTTTTTCATGTCTCATATGTTTAAAGTCTAAAATAAACGATATTTTAGGGATTTTATAATTGTATTATTGCTCAGATATTCAACTATTTTTCTTACTGTAACTTGGCGATCTTTCCGAACAAATTGCTCAACTAAGGACAATTTTTTTTACCGGCTTATTTTCGCTGCGCAACAGAACAAACATCATTTTTAACCATCTCCCTGCCTTCCCTAAAACATTCAATCCAATTACGATTGAACTTCTGGCAAGCTTTTTGTCTTCATAAACCTTGTACAAATTATCATATTCTACTGCAAAGGCATTTCCTAGATATACGTTAAACTTTACAGCCGTTCGTTGCTCGAGTACGACTGAGTCAACCATTTTTTGTCACAAGTGACCTACATATTGACGTCATTTTCACATTGTGACGTCACAAACAGGGAGCAAAACATTGTTTAACATCAGCTATTTATAGAAGATGTGTATAACTATGTGTGTGTCCAATTTCATTCTAATCTGAATTGTGGTTTTGTAAATATAGAGATAGTTCGCGAACTTTTTTATCACCCCTCGTATATAAGCAACGATTTCTGTACATGTGTGAAATAACGTGAGATTTAGTTATGCTTAAACACTACCGCAATCATAAGTTGCTTTGTTAGCAAGATGTGTTTGTGAAACACTGATGCCCTTTTATGGCAGCTTATGGCGAAGGTTGAAGTTTTCCAAATGCAACTCCAAGGTCAAGTTCAAAAGATCACAATTGTTGGTTACCAAAGGAATGTCCTATTACAAGGAATACAGATGTGAAATATGAAAGCCCTAGTACTACCTGTTAAAAAGTTATGGCCGAGGTTAAAGATTGGTAGAAGTTGGTCAAACTCCAAAGTCAAGGTCAATAGGTCTAATTTGGTGGTATCTGAAGAAAGGTCTTGTCACAAGGAATGCACCTGTGAAATTTAAAAGCCATAGCCTTACCTACTCAAAAGTTATGGGCAAGGTTAAAGTTTTTGCGGACAAACAGATAGACAAACAGACAGACAGACAGATAGACAGAACTATATACCCCCGAATATTCGATTAAGGGGGCATAGAAATATCGTGTCCCGGAACGTAAAAAAAGGTTTTGAGTTGGGCCATTTTAATCAGTCGCTCGGGAGATGGCAACCAAACAATTTTTTAAAGATGATCCGATACCAACGCTTTTGACTTCACATACATGTACATAAAGAAGTCATAAAATAGTAAGATTATTCACAGTAGCGATCATTATTCTTTCATTCTAAACATAGTTTTAATGAACTGGAGTGCTGAACATCAAGGTAAAAATTCAAATGTTGCAGCAAGGCGAACTTTCAAGAACTGTTGGGTCATTGTGCGTCAAACTATAACAATACGGCGGGCCGTTCGTAGAATACATGAAGTTCTATTCGAACTATTCGTCTCAAACGTAAATACAAATAAATCATTCACAGGATTTGATCACATGACCAACCAAGTTAATTTCCCACTATACATTTTATCGGTTTTTTTTTTTTTTTTTTTTTTGATTTCTTGATTAACAATGTAAGTTTATAATTTCGGAAAATCTGTTCAAATAAAGAGGAGAACACAGTTCACAATCTTCATATTTCATGGAAATAAGTAAAAAAAACCTTCTAAGGTATACTTAAGGGTACTTGATAATGTGGTCGAAGCCCATTATGCATAAATTGCCCACGTTTCCTAATGTCGTTGATGTCCCTGGCATACCAAACAATTAAGGCAGTGATTCCATATATTTACATTTTATGTGGAATAAAAGAATTTATATTAATACAAGAAATGCTGTCTTATAGATCTAATATTTATACACGAGGCTTTTTTTCAAAAGTCTCCGCCCACTGACGTCAGACACAAAGACAGCTGCACAGATTGACATGCATACATGTATTAGGCTCTTGACATTTTACCTGGCGAAATTTACATTGTAATAATAAAAAAATGACCTTACATTCAAAGAATTATCACAGAGAAATCAATAAATAAATATAAGGGAATATATCACAAATGTAATCATCATCCAATTGTACGTTGTTACAGGTATATCTTTTTTCATTGAATTTTTAAAACACATCCATTAAAGGATATATGTAAAAAGTTTACAAAACATAATAAAATGAATTTTAAACAATAAATTAGTGTCATTTACATGAAGTAATTACTTCTGAACATATAAAGCTTCTATATTTACTTCATCGGTGAATAGTTTGGCATTTAAAAGAAAGTCCTTTTTTCGGTCAACATATTTAGGTTAACTTGGATCAGTTCGACTTAGTGTAGAGTATGCATTCTTCTTTTTTTATTACTGGCAATATGTCACTAAGTGATGACTTTCTACATGTGTACATGTGCACATTTTGTATAGTGTTCTTCTTTTTTCTCTCCGTTTCCTGCAGTCTGCATTTAGAAATGCTAACAAGTTTTTCTGTTATCTCATTCAAATTATCACTGCTGTCAGCAGAAAAGTTTGTATTTGAACTATGAATCGTATATCGTTTAAATAATTTTCTTCCTGTGATAGTCTCTAATTTTTCTTTTTTTTCGATTGGTTCACATCTCAAAGTACATATTCGGGTAGATAACCCATCCCTCTGAATATTAGCTCTTCTTTTTCTTTCTAACAGAGGAAAAGTTTGAGTAGACTGCACCATGCTCTTGCACGTTGGAGAATTAATATGATGTCCGTGCCCTCGTTTGGTGTAAAAAATAACTTTATTTTGCAATCTTCTCTCAATTTGACTGTTATTTGAAATTTCCACGAGCGTCTTATCAGCGAAAATTGTTCTCTTGTAAAATCTGTTTTCTGGCGTATCTTTGTTAGAGATTAGCTCTGCTCGTTCTTCCAGAATATGTTTTGCATTCTCACTTTTCTTTCTTGATAATGTGCTCTGCACATCTTTCCTTTTCAAGTCTATTCTAGACATGTATTCTGGTGTTGATTTGATCGTGTCTTTATTTAGTTTTTTATTCAACATGGCATTTGAGGTAGCATATATTTGATTTGAGAGCTTTTTCTCACTAAGTGAAATGTGTTTATTTCCTTTTCCCTTATTTGGCAAAGTACCATCTGAGGTACACATGCGCTTATTTACTTTACAACACACACTCCTTTCAATTTTTGAGTCAGACCATTTGCTTTTATTATTTCCTTTCCTCAGCAAAACATTTGAAGTATTTGTAGCAGACTTGATTTCAGACTGCTTATTCAAAACATGCTGTTTACTCTCGTTTTCGTTTTCTTGTAATGTGCCATCTGATGTATACATGTAGGGCATCAACTCTTTCATTTGAATTTTTGTATCAGAAATTAATCTTCTCGTAGCTCGCTTGCTGATATTTCCTTGCAATTTTATGTCAGTGTCTGAAAAGGGTCTCTCATTTAATGTAAAGTAGGTGCCATGCGAATTTGATTTTTTGGACAGTAAAGAGTTGTAAAGGTTTGATGATTCCCCTATCAATTCATTAAAGATGGACTCTATTCTTCCTTTCATTTCACGGTCAAGTAGAGTAGAGATGAACATAGGGTCGTCAGACAAAGGGTGCCACCAAATGTACATCGCTACACGCCAAGGTTCCTGTTCTACACCGTCACCGTCGTCCCCACGCAGCATTCTCAGTGCAAGATCTTCATAATAGTCCTTAGGTATCTGCAAAACAACCTCACAAGGTTTCACATCATAGTCCTCTGAACGAATCAATTCAAATAAATTCTTTCTTCTACATTTTTTGATTACAAGTTCTGGAGCCAGTTGTCCAAATGACACCAATACAGCCTCTAGAACAGTTTCGTGTGAAAAAGTATATACTTGTTGTACTGTAGTTTCTGATATGTAAAAAATATTTAGGCTTTCAATAGAATCTCTGATATTCACCTTTGCTACATCAAAAATCTTCAATTTTTTGCAAATACTTCTAAATAATTCATCGGGTAATTTTTTGATATATATTTCCCCAATAATACATATATATGAAAGAACGCAATATGCTATCTTTTCTGTGTACGCAGAGGACTTTCGCATGCTTTCGATCGTTACGTATAACTTTTTATTTGAATGTTTGAAGTACGAGGGACCAAGCTCAAACAATTCACGCTTCTCAAAAAATTGGAAACATGTTAATGGATATCCATAATAAGGTTCCGTGTTGGCGATCTGACGTCGTTCATGATCAGTTAACCTGTAGACAGCATCTTTCCCATTTCGTTTAGCGTATTGCTTGAATGTAACTCCCTGTAGCTCAGATGCTTTAAATTTGCATTTCCCTTCATAGGCTTGTAGCATCAACACTTTCTCTTCAAAGGTAATTTTATATTCTAAAGATAGATCAATAACATTCTCTTTTTCGAAAAGCTGGTGAATACAATGCATATTTAACTCATCTAGTACATTTTTCCTCATCCCAATCAGCAGAAGAATTTTTCCATTTTCATTCCTTACGCATGAATATATGACATCAAATGATTTTCTCCATATTTCAACAGCGCCAGTATCTAAATTTGTTGAACCTAAAAAGTCATCAAGAAAAATAATATAACGACTGTCAAGATTGATCACCGTTTTCCATTCCTCTGGAGATTCTATAAAAACGGGTATGTAGGGTGTTTGAGAGGTCCTGTGTGACTTCATACACATGACTTGCCGCGCTGTTGTAGTTTTTCCCACTCCTCCTTTTCCTATTAAAATAACGATATGACTTCTTTTTAGTTTTTCTAATGTAGCTGTCAGGGCTGAGGTTTTCGTGTACTCTCGCATGTCTTTTTGTTTTAATAGAACTTGGTTCGTCTTCGCTAATATAAAAAAGAGTTTTGTGTCATTTATGTGATATATTATACAAGGTATATTAAAATATGTTAATATATTAGAGTATGTTTATCACAACTCTGTAAAAAGTGCTCTGTGATAGATATATTTTCATAAAATTCATCTAACATTTTAATACACAAAAGAGGCCTCAAACTGATAATATTAATATTTGATGGCATGTTTAAAATAAGGTTGTCCGATAAAAACGCAATTTTTGTACAATATGTTTGTTTTGTAAAAGTTGTAGTTAAAAATTCAACGCTGCAAAGTTAGGCATTTGTATTTAGTAATTACTCAGAATTCATTCATAATGATCACCTCTCAAATTTTACACTGATTAATAAATGAAACTGTAGCAGCTGTCCCCACACGTCATGTCATGGAACATATCAAAACTCAACACGCTCAACATTCAAAACCTAGTGTAAACTTTTTATTTTGTTAGAATGACTACTGCAGCAGTAATCCACGACTTTTACTTTAATTTGTGCATTGTTGAGAAAAGATATGAAAACTCTGGAATCTTGTAAGGGCATTCATTTTAAAACTATCCTTGAAAAAATCTTTTGAAATCAAATATTTCAAATAATGATTTTGTATCTGCAGTGGTATTAAAAAAATTATGATGATTTTGAAAGAAATGATGTATAATGAAATTAGAATGAATGATTTTATGTACGAGTTAGCAAGTGCTGAACATACTCAATCTCACAATTTTAACACAGATAGGCTTCCGTAGGAAATCTTTATCGTAGAAATATTTCATCACTTTTTTTCGGCGTTTTGCAACGGTTAATATTGCAGTTTTAAGCATACACACTTAACAGACAATAAATATTTAGAGGATGTGAAAGTATTCTTGCACTTAATCTTTAACTCAAAACAGGCATGACAATTCCCTTATACAGTAATGTTTTTTTTATTACTGAAAAAAAAGAATAATTCCCTTTAAGGGTAACAGTTACTAAAGAAGGGGATTGTGTCCAATCTGTTAAAGTATCTTCTAGAGGTTCATAGATTATATATCGGCCTGCTTTTTAAAATTATGGAAATCATTCAAAAGAGTCGACAACTAGAGAAAAGAATACTCTTTGTTTAGTGCATACTCGTTAACTGTAAATGTGGTTATATTGAAGGACTGGAATTCTGACGATCTCGATATAACAAAAAATGGCGAGTATAAACTAGTATTAACAGTGCTTTTATCAGGAATTTAAAAGTTGATTAATGGAACTTTGACAATTATATATTATTAGAATTCCGTGATGTCGTCAACGTTTCCACATCCACTTTTACAGTATTCTAACATTCGTGCTCAGAGCAATAATATCATTTTCAACCTTTTTACAATTAGTCAGGTCTTCATAAAACAATCTTTGTGCAGTTTTTTTTTAAAATCATGAACATATCTTTAAGTTCTAATAACCCTCACCGATAAGTTTCCTTCTTTCTCCATCGAAGTGTTTGTCTGCAAATATATATTGATGTACAATTAAACAATGAATACTTTCTTTGAATTTCAAAATGTGAATTACTGTTGCAGTTGTAAGCGGATAATGTAAAATTATTCTGAAATACGTCTATCTGCAACATGAGTTCCTCAAATAACATTCAAATAAAGTGTCAATAATTTCTTTCATTCGAATGTACTTGAATATGCTTGCGTATAATAAAAAAAATAAAATATACATGTTCCTACTTGAAGTCATATAGTAGCAATCTTACAAAAAATTTCTTTGCGTATTTTAAATGTTCACTCGTGCAATTCTTTCTTTAAAAATTTAAATATTTGTATGTGTTTACCTTGTAAGTCTTTGATAGTCTTTTTCTTTTCTTAAAAATAAATAAAATCAAACAAAAATAAAAAGCGTTTCAGTTTTGTAATGAATTATTTTAATAGGAATGCGTAGAATTTTCGACAAACATTCACACAAAAGTCATTTTGGTTTTAGCTAAACTATTGTAAACGTATTATATTTGGCCGTGCCTTCTTTTTAGCGCTTTTGGCGGAGAGAAACTTCGCTAATTCCAGTATGTAGCTAAATGTTTTGCACATATATACATAAATAAGAACATTAAGAAATGCGCTAAATGAAATCTGCGCTAACTTGTTCAAAAATCAATTTCCGCCAAATATCGTATACGCTAAATATAAAACATTTACAGTATTACTAAAATTTGAAGGTTTTTTAAAAGAATTTTTTGACACAAGCTAGAATTGAAAATGGTATTTTATTACCAATGTTTGTTACCAAACATGTCCCTTACCTTCAATAATGTTTTTTTGGCTTACAATGACGTCTAAATATTGCTTTTCTTGTACTGGATCCATTGTTGCAGTTTTCATGCTTTTTGCAGCATTTGTGTATGCTACACATCCTCCAGGCAAAATCATTTCAAGTTCACTTATAATTATTGTAATTTCATCCCAGATATGATTGAATTCGTTATCGGATAGTGAGAGAGAAATTGTATGTCCAAAGTATTCGTTCCTTATCTCCCTTACCCTATCTATGTTTGCAGAGAGGGACCGATCATTTCTGTCTGGATGCTTGCCCCATCCTTTACTGTGAGGTGATATTCCTGAGATATTTCTCAGAAATATGTACAATAAAGACAAATCTAATTGTTCATACATTCCTGTGAAATATCCCCATGTTGGAAAGAGAAGTTCTATTTGTTTTTTATTAAGTACAGATAAGAGAAGTTTTTTGTTATTTTTAAGGACAAATGGAAGTTGAATTTCTGTTACATTAATTTTTAAAATGTCCCTAAAGAGATCTGTGCAGGGACCGATGAGTAGCCTTGACACTCGGGCAGCGTTTGTTGTTTCTTTCGTTGAAGCGTATTTGGAACATGCCATCATTAAACTAAAGGAAAAATAGCTTTAAGCAAAATGTACAATAATCAATATATAATCAAAATATATATCATCAATATATACCATGATTACAAACTTATGCCTTTTTTCAGAATTCCAGACAATGACAATAGGTTTCTATAATCAGTTTTCATATAAATGTCTGAGTTTTTTTTTAAATGGATTAAAACCAAATTTAGATATATGATAACAATAGCATTAACAAATTTCATGACAAAAGGTCAAAAGTCAAAATGGCTCGATTAAGATGGAAGTTTAAGGAAACTAAGCACATTTTTTCTGTGTCAAATCTAAAACTTGTGTTTTAAACAACAAATTAATAAACAAAATGTCTGGTGGACAATAACTAGCATCACATAAATTGCTGAATATGGACAAAAGGTCAAAGTTCAAAGTCACACTGGTATATATATAATTTGCTTTTTTGTCCCCCTATTTCACTGAAAGTCGGGGATATTAATTTGGATCAGTCTGTCCTTCCATCCATCCGTCAGTTTTTCTTTCTGTTACACTTTCGTTTCGACGTGATGTCTCAAGAAGCCTTTGAGTCTTTGCAAGGAAAGTTTACATTACAAGTCCCTGTGGCCTAAGGAAGACTCCCATTAAGTTAAGGTCAAAGTTTAAGGTCATGAATTCATAAATTTTGTCTGTTCTAACACTTTATTCCCGAGCAATATCTCGAGAAGCCTTCGAGCTTTAGCAATGAAATTTTAAACCACAACTCCCTATACTTAAAGAAGACCCCTTATATATATATTTCTTTTGTATTTATTTAAAGTCTCTTAGGGCGTCATTGTTACATCTAAACCAAACTGAACTGCTCTCCGGTGCGCCTTTCCCATTTCGAATGCTCGGGAAACTGCCAAAATAAAGCAAATGCCTTGAAATTTTCAAAAAGAGGATACAATATATAGTGGATCAAGATGCACTTAAGTATTGTAACAAAAGAATTACTGAATATTTCAGCTTAGTGCACCCATCATTTTTGGAGAAAAACGCTTTGTCCAAAATTTTACCGGAAAACCCTCGTAGGTAGTCTTAAAGATTAATACACTAGCGTAGGAGGCATACAGGTAGCTAATAATGCTGTTCGATGTTTAGGTATACTCACTGGCCATAATAAAATTCATTGTTAGGAATTGAATTGGTTAAAATTACTTAAAAACTTTTCAAAATATAAAAAAAAATCTTTGAATCTTGGAAAAAAAGAAAATTCACTATCTTAGGGAAACCTTGCATATGTGTCGTTAATTCATTGGCTACGTCACAACTTATTTATATTGCTGATTAAAAGCAGCATATTTCATTAAATATATAGAATGAACGCAAAGGAATTAAAAGAGATACTGTGATCAGAAAACAGGAAGATGACGTGATAAATATTGAATTGAAATTTAAGGTCTTAAAGGCGGCATGGATTGGATTCTTAATAGAAAAGAATTGTATACTCAGCAAAATAGTAGAAAACCATTTAAATCGTCTTAAGGTGGATATAAATTAATATATATTAACTTTATCGGAGAAAAAACCCTCAGACTTTTAAATTATTTCAAGCCTTCCATTTTTTATAATGAAGTATGCTGTAGTTTTAATAATTGTAAAAGATGAAATATATGGAGATAACGAACATTATTCAAGCTCAAAAGTCCATTAAACAATACAAAATTGGAGTAGAGCAAACACGGACCTCCAAAACATCAGAGAGGGATCAGGTGTCATCTCCTGCCGAGCGGTCACACCCGCCGTGTGCTCCTTGTCATGATCGGAAATAACGGAAAAACTGTTTACAATTTAGTGTATATATAATGGCCTAACAATCAGTATGAAAAACATCAGTCGGCATTGACCTAATGATAATTTGTATTTGCTGACAAGTCATTGTATCCACCAATCGAATAGACCATCGCAGAATATGATAACGCAAAGGGTAAGAAAATCACCCTTTTAATATTTGATTTTTTATAATTTAACTTTATAAGTCGAGCTCAAAACTGATTTATTGATTGCATGGTATTTGTATGGTATTTTTCGCAGGTAATTAAAGACAGCGCTCTGATCATAATTCGGTAAATTTACACTTTTATGCAAAATGTAACATTGATTAATTTAAAAAAGGCATGGATAAAATATTATGTAGCACTCCATCACGACCTCATCATGTGACATCTATAAATTGAAAAAGATGCCTTAATGAAAAATTGAAAAGTTCAACACTACCTGAGAGTCAATAATTTTATATTTCTAAAAATAGTTATGTAAAATCATCTATGGACCATGAAAAGTGCTGCTGCTAGAATCCTACACTTTTATCACAGAAACGATTCTTCCACGCTTTCGGATGAATTTTTTTAACATTTTGTATATAAAAATCTAACTTCCGTTAAGCACATGATTCTAGCAGCACTATCAAAGAACTATAGAATAAGAACTTTCGATAGAAACAAAAATTATGTTTCAGAGTATGCGATGTAGTGTCGAACTTTTGCATCTTTGTTATTACGAACGACAGAGGAAAGGCTGATCTTGATGTAAAAACACTGTCTGCTTTCAATATATGGAGACATTGTAAAAAAAAATAAATCAGCGTACCTTATTCATAAGTTTTAATTCCGTATGCATGAGGCATGATATTAATGTTAAATAGTTTTAAACTCCGATTTCCTATCTTTGTTTACATGAATTATCGTAACATTTCCTTTTCACTCTTTAAATATTGAACAACAGTTATACGAGGGGTGATCAAAAAGTTCGCGAACTAATTGAATTACTTCCTTAAAAGAAATATATCGAGGCTCCAGTGTCCATTATTTTTGAAAGTAGTCCACACCGATTTCAATGCACATCTGCCATTGTACTGCTCATGCGCGAATCACGTGATCCAGGCGGTCACGTGACATGCTCTCTAGCGGTCTGTTCACAGAAACTGAAAGATTTTTTCGAGTCTTATATTTCTTACCATGCAAGTTATTCTTTATAACAAGAACAGTCTATCTGTCAGAAATGGCCAAATATCGGCAATAGGATGGGTGGATAAGGATATCCTTTCCCAGAGTTAGCATGGTGACCATAACAACCCGAGCTCTCTGTCTCGGGGCGTCGTTTATCCAATGTGGATAAAGTATGGACGCCTTCTTTTTTCATATCTCATGTGTTTAATGTCTAAAGTGAACGATATTTTAGGGATTTAATAATTATTATATTGCTAAGATATTCAATTATATTTCTAATTTTTACTTGGCGATCTTTCATAACAAATTGCTCACTAAGAACACATCTTTTCCCCAGCTCGCTTTCACCGGGCAACAGAAGAAACACCATTTTTAACCACCCCCTGCCCTCACTAAAACAATCAATACAATTAATGATTGAACTTCTGGTAAGTCTTTTGTTTTCATAAACTTTGTACAATTTATCATATTCTACTGCAAAGGAATTTCGAAGATAAACATACAACTTTACAGTCGTTCGTTGCTCAAGTACGACTGAGTTAACCATTTTTGGGTTGACCAAGTCACCTACATTTTGAGGTCATTTTCACATTGTGACCGTCACAAACACGGTTAAACATTATATAACATCCTCTATTTTTATGTGTATGATTATAAATTAAATGTGCCAAATTTCATTCTGATCTGAATTGTGGTATTGTAAATATAGAGATAGTTCGCAAACTTTTTGATCACCCCTCGTAACGTCATTGGTTTGGTTTAAATATAGATTTTGAGAAGTCGGTATCTTTAAAGATCACGTCATATAGTTTACTATGACGTCATATTGTATAGATAAGTAGATTATCTGGGTGTGGCCTTAACATACCCCGCGTTTTCCCATGAGAAAAATGCTTTTCCGATAAGATTTTTTTTACTTATATGGAGACGTCACCATATACCAGTGAATGACCTAAATTTGGATGTATACTCGGCACTTTGGGTCATCCAGCAATGAGGTTTCATCATCGTGCCTTCGACTACAGTAAGAAAGAACTTCGGCTTTAAGTTAAATTTGTAATGGCATTATGTGTCAACGCTCGAATAGGTGATCGTACTTGAATAAATTTGGGGAATGGAATTGGCGTTGAGTTAATCAATTACTCAGTACGGATGGTGGAAACTATGACGATTTTCCTTCGGTAATGAATCTTCAATCTTTCATGTATGAAATAACTACCAGGAAGAGAGACCAGGGACATTTGAGTACAAGTAGCGAGAAAAGCAAAGAAGCAGATGTGAACCCAGAATATTGAGAGAATTGAACAAGATGTTACATTTTGATTTCTGAATTATTACAAATTATGAGCAATTTTAGTTCCCCTTTATCCAGTATTTGGATAATTAACATTTAATTCAATTCTTTGTAAAGGGTTATAAGTATGTCAAATTATGTTGATAACAATTGATTAATTTTGACCGTTTTATATTTGAGGCAAGGTCAGGTCAAAATCATTACCTTTTTCTTG